TATATTACAACATGTAAAAAAACTTAAAGTATATTGTAATATTTATTATTACAATAAATTATTATTATTTTCAAATGTAGGCATGTTGTTTGATACTTACTTAAAGATACTTTTTTACTAATGTGTCTCTATATATTTCGTTTAGATTGTATATATAGTCAATTTCAATATTTAAAGACTTAAAATAGATCTATTATGATAAGTAAATATATAATGTACATGTAAGGAGAAGCTATTAATTTACACGAGTAAAATAAGAAAAAGATTTATGTAATCTAAATGTTAGGAATTTATTCAAAGTTCAAATAAGGAAAATTTAATAATAAAAATTTTAGTTGATTTTGAAGTCCTAAATAATAGGAAAATAACTTAAATTACAGTATTGTCCAATATAAAATCTATTTTTGAAGGGTAAAAAAGGCGAACGATATTTCGCTAAAAGCCTTCGTGCTTTTAATATAGTATAGATTAAAATATATGGGTAGAGAAAAAGAAATTAAAATATAGGATTGATGAAAATCGAATCTTAATTAAAAGAATACAAAGATATATACCAGTTTATCAGTGAGCTATTACAAANTAAACTTACTTAAAGATACCTTTTTTACTAATGTGTCTCTATATGTTTCGTTTAGATTGTATATATAGTCAACTTCAATATTTAAAGACTTAAAATAGATCTNGTTAAAATAGATCTATTATGATGAGTAAATATATAATGTACATGTAAGGAGAAGCTATTAATTTACGCGAGTAAAATAAGAAAAAGATTTATGTAATCTAAATGTTAGGAATTTATTCAAAGTTTAAATAAGGAAAATTTAATAATAAAAATTTTAGTTGATTTTGAAGTCCTAAATAATAGGAAATTAACTTAAATTGCAGTATTGTCCAATATAAAATCTATTCTTGAAGGGTAAAAAAGGCGAACGATATTTCGCTAAGAGCTTTCGTGCTTTTAATATAGTATAGATATAGATATAGATATATATATAAATAGATAGATGAGTAGTAAATGATTATGGACTAATAAGGTTAAGGGTAACCAAGAAATGGGATAGGTCCGTTGGTTTGACCGTGTTTAACAAAGTTAAGGTTGACTCGCGTGTTTGACTTTGGCTTTGACCAAAGCTTAAGTTTGGATGCTGAGTTATTCCGGTGTTCTTGACACCAGTATATCATCTTTTGTGTAGATTATATTGGTGATCTTTGGTTGAATTTGGATAGTGTAGTAGCGCTGTGTTACATAACTTGGATTAGATGTCAGGGTTGACCTTAATTGTTGTAATTCTTGACAAACTAGCATGTTGTATGTTTTGAGACTAGCTGAGGCGGCTCAAGAACATTGGAGACCTAAAGCCAAACTTTATTAGGAGGCCTCAAACTTTTAAAAAAAAAATCCATATTAAGTAATTTGATTAATGCTTTATAGTTGACATATGTGCATAAGATAAACGATACTCCTTCCGTTTCAATTTAGATGAGGTAGTTTGACTCGACACGGATTTAAGAAAAAAAACTTTTAAAACTTGTGGTCTTAAAAGTTTAATGGATAAAATCTTTATAGGGCCATGACATTTATGTGGTTATAAAAGCTTCTCATTAAGGGTAAAATGGTAAAATAAAGAGTTTAAAGTTGAATTATTTCCAAATATAGAAGCATGTCATTTATTTTGGAATAGACTAAAAAGGAAAATACATCATCTAATTTGAACGGAGGAAGTAAAAAGTAATATGCTACTTGAGATAAGAAAATAAATATTAAAGTGTAAATATAAAGCTCAAAAATAGAAAGTTATAATAGTAACATGATTCTAGAAGCTTATAATTTGATATCAGTATAAAATTCTATTATTTTAATTTGTTTGTTGTAATGCTTGAGGACCTGAGAATAATGGATTTTTTTAAATGCATCCCTTGTTTTTAAGAGAATAGACAGCTTAGTAATTAGAGGGGAAAAAGTGAATTTATAATACAAGTTATATTATGAGAAAAAATAAAATATTAATATTAGAATATAAATTAACTTTAGTCATCATCTATCACATTGACAAAATAATTCTTTTCCTATTTTATGCATCTCTTGTAATGTTTTACCATAGATATTTAATATTTTTTAAAGGAAACTATTATAGAATTAACATATTACTTTTAAATTGGAGCCCCAAAAATTTGGGGGCCTAAAGCCATTGCTTCATTTGCTTGGCCCTTGAGCCGACACTGGAGACTAGCATGAATGCATTAAATATAGAGAAAATTATCTTCATTGTCAGTTGATCCACCGTACCAACAAAATTAGGCTCATATTTTAGGTCCTTACTCGATTTAACTCAGATTATACATAAATTGTAAAATAATTTTCATCCGTTAGCCCAAAGCACTTAAAAGGTTTTTTTCTTTCTTTTTTTCTTCATTCCCAACCTACCCAATTTTCTCGGTACATCCTCTCTTTTCTTTCTCTCTAACCTAAACAGATCCCTTTCTCCTCTCTTACTCTAGCCTCCGCTATTCCTCCTCTGCTTACCCCATATGCAATTCTGGCTCATGCTCCTCCTCCGTAGTCCAAATCCGCCAAATTCGATGGTGGCAAGCAGAAGAAGAATTGAAGATTTTGAAAGAAAAATGACAACCCACACAGATCCAAAATCTGTAGCTCTCAAACTTGATTTGCGCTGAAAAATAACCACTAATTTTGGAAGATTTTGAAGTTTGAAATTAGATCAACATTGTTACGACCTTGAAGTCTCGGATCTAAAACTGGATGTATCTTGTCTGGATGTTAAATTCGGAATCGTTCGCATAAAGTTATGAATTTATTGACGAGTTGAATCGTCCAATACCTACTGCTACAACTCGAAGTTGGGACAAAAAAGCATAACCATGTAGCAGTTTGTAACTATATTGTATAATAATGTATAATAATGTATATGAATGTATAAATACCTCTTATATAATATTATATATGTTTATAAAGGTTGATATATTGTTTACAGTTTGTGTAGTGTTAGACATAGGATGTTTTCTAGTAAAAATATTGTATAACTAGTATTTATATACAATTATATAGTATCGTATACTTATGTATAATTGTGTATAAATGTGTATATTTATGTATAATGCTAACCTAGTATGCCCACACATCCATCTCAACATCCTCATTTCATCTACTCTCATCTGCTGGACATGGGAGTTTTTGACTGGCTAGCACACTGCCCCATACAACATAGTCGGTCTAACCACTACCTTGTAGAACTTACCTTTAAGTCTCATGGCACATTCTTATCGCACAAGACACCTGAAGCGAGCCTCCACTTCATCCACTTTTCTCCGATACGATGTGTGACATTATCATTAATCTCTCCATCACTCTAAATAACATACACAAGATACTTGAAACTCTCCCTCTTAGAAATGACTTGCATATCAAGCCTCACTTCCACGTCCGCTTTCTTGGTAATACCGCTGAACTTGCACTCCAAATATTCTGTCTTGGTTCTAGTCAACTCGAAACCTTTAGACTCAAGGGTATGCCTCCAGACCTCTAGCCTCTCGTTAACACCAACTCGCTTCTCATTAATCTGAACTATGTCGTCTGCGATGCACCAAGGCATCTCCCCTTGAATGTGTCTCGTCAGTGCATCAATTGCCAACGAAAACAAAAACGGGCTAAGTGATGATCCCTGATGCAACCCAATAATCTCAATCGGGAAGTGATCAAAGTCTCATGTTATCGTCCTTACCTGTGTCTTAGCTCTATCATACATGTCTTGGATCACTCTAATATACACTACAGACACTCCTTTAGCCTCTAGACATCTCCATAGACCTCTCTCGGGACTTTGTCATAAGCTTTCTCTAGGTCAATAAACACCATATGCAAGTCTGTCTGCATCGCCATATACTGCTCCACCAATCTCCCTTCTATCACACTCTCGCAAACTTTCATCGTATGACTTAACAACTTGATACCCTTATAGTTGTTGCAGTTTTGGATATCCCCATTGTTCTTGTACAATGGAATCATCGTACTCCACCTCCATTCTTCAGGCATATTCTTCGTCCTAAAAATAACGTTAAACAACCTAGAGAGCCTTTCCAAGCCTGCCTTGCTCACGCTCTTTCAGAATTCCCCAGGGATCTCGTCTGGCCTGGTCGCTCTATCCCTACTCATCCTACGCATAGCCCCTTCAACCTCCCCCAAACATATGTGTCTACAGTACCCAAAATCTCGATGTCTCTTCGAGTACTCCAACTCACCCAGCACAATGCTCTTATCTCCCTCTTCATTCAAGAGTTTATGGAAGCAAGACTGTCATCTCTGCCTAATATGTGCCTCCTACAACAAGACTCTACCCTCCTCGTCTTTTATGCGCATCACTTGGTCCAGATCAGGGGCCTTTCACTCTCTCACCTTCGCCAGATTGCACAACTTCTTGTCACCGCCTTTGTCCTCAATAAGTTCTTCATATAACCAACCAAACGATGTTGTCTTAGCCGCAGTAACATCGCCCCCTTATTAGCCTTCTTATACCACTCCGTGTTAGCCATCTTCGCCCTCACGTCTAGAACAGTGCACCCTAAAATTCCAATGCAAAATACACACATGATGCACTTATTGCTTTAATACATGACTGATCCAAATAAATATTTTATATGACAGTAGCGTCCTTCTTCCCGCTATTCAAATTGGTTTTACGACATTCCTTTTCTTAGTAGTGGTACTACTAATATTGATTATTTAAACATGTTTTCACCTGGTAATATTAGTATTAGTAAAGCCTTTTATTGTTATTTTTCTAATGATGGAGAAATCCATCTGTGGCACCCTAAACTCGGAGATAATAAAGTGAACCCGCCCAGCAGTGGAGCCACCTTACTGACACCTTAATAAGTAGGTAAATATATATATATATACCCCTAAATAAAAATCGTTCATTGTGCATGCATGTAGCAGTGGGATTAATTGGTGGGCTCCGTTCCACCTTTTGAAACAGTAATTCATGATTGACTTTGAGCTAATTAAATGGCAAAAATATTTCTACACAGTAAAAGCCAAAGGTTGGTGACGGGCTGACGCTTTTTACCAACAAAGTGAGTGTGGGATCCATTATGGGGATTTCCAGAATAGACATTCATTGTTGCTATCCTCAACTAGGTTCTGCTGCTTCACCTCTTTTACCATTCTTTCCCCTTTTCTTGCAATAATTCAACTTAGAACAGGGAAAGGAGCATCTGGGTTATCTTCTGTCTGGTTTGGTTAGTCTTCACTACTTGTGCTTTAATTTGATTGGATTACATCTATTAGATTACAAGTGGCGGATTTATTAAGTTTGTAGTTGGGATCTTGTAGTGTTTTGGTGATCAAATGTTTAATTTGTTGATTATTTCTGCCACTTAACAGCTTGAATAAGTTGCAACTGAGCATCATTTTGGAGAAAGATTGAATTTTTTTATGTGAGTTTGATGTGTATACCATATTGAGGGGGTTTTCAGGGGTGTTGAATAATTTTTTAGATCTTTGTTTTTTTACTTTTCTTTTGAGGGTTGGGGGTAGGGTGTTAGATGGGGTTGCTGTCATTTAATATGTTGATTTGGAACTACGAATAGAAAGTTAAATAAGCTGGAAGGAACTATGATTTGTATATATTCTAGAGCCTTTCTTGAGGTTGGTAAATTAAATCAATAGGAAATCATGAAAGCCTAAATAGTATGAATAGGAAGTAGAATTAATACACTTGATTTAAAGTATATGAACAATCTGTTGTTTGAAAGAATAGATAACACTTATAAGGTATCATCCTAAGATGTAGAAGAATTTGGTGTGATCAAGACTTCAATTTTTTTATGTTCCTCTTTATTTTTTCTTTCTAATTCTTATTCTTGTAAAGCTCATTGCTGTTGTTATTGGTCATTATTAGTCACTGAAATTTTTATGTAAATTTAACTGAATTATTTCACCTCCATGATTTTGGTTAAGGATTTTCTAATTTTTCTTTTGCTTTTCGGTTCTTTCTGTTGGAATCTTGTTACTTTGTGAAGCAGATTCGAATATAGAACCTGCTGCTCTTCATCTGGTAATGAATTGCTGAAAGCTGTGCCCTCACTCAATTACCAATTACACTTTGTCGTCAACAGAACTGGAAAAGTTCCTCATTTCCAGATCAGCAGACTAGGATTGAGCAACAATTTTCTAAATCTAATCAACCAACTGAAAACGCATCTCGCATGGAACAGCAGGTTAATCAAAGGAGTGAAAATCATGATTTTACCAGAATACAAGATTGGGATCCAAAAGCCATTCTAAAAAATATGTCTTTTCTTGAACAAAAGATTCATCAACTCCAGGAGCTGGTGCGTATAATTTTTGACCACAGAAGTCTAGTTGGGATTCAGGGAAATGACCTTTCAAGTCAGCAACAACAGCTAATAACTGCTGATCTTACCTCTATTATTGTTCAATTGATATCAACTGCAGGGAGTCTTCTTCCAACCGTGAAGCATCATACATTTTCCTCCGCGAGCCCAACTACTAAGCAACCTGCGCAGTTTGGTGGTGTTTCGGTTCCTTCTGAAAAAGGTATTAATGCTGGTGCTCTACCACATAGTGTTAATGTGACTAAAGCGGAAGATCAGTCCAACCATGTTGATCTAATGGGCGATTGTGGCATTGAACAGAAGTATGCTGCTGATGAACATGAGGCAAACGATGAAGATGAATTCCATGAGGAAGAGAACCTTCCTCCTGGTTCCTACGAGATTCTGCAGCTGGAAAAAGAGGAAATTCTTGCACCTCACACTCACTTTTGCACAATTTGTGGGAAGGGATTTAAGAGAGATGCCAATTTGCGGATGCACATGAGGGGTCATGGGGATGAGTACAAAACTCCAGCTGCTCTTGCACAGCCTCACAAGGATCCCAGCTCTAGGACGATGACCCTTATTAAAAGGTATTCCTGTCCTTGTGTTGGTTGCAAGCGCAACAAGGAGCATAAAAGGTTTCAGCCGTTAAAAACTATCTCATGTGTGAAAAAACATTACAGAAGAACCCACTGTGAGAAAAGCTATGCTTGTAGTAGGTGCAATCTAAAGAAATTTTCAGTTATTGCAGATCTTAGAACACATGAGAAGCATTGTGGTAAAGATAAATGGCTTTGTTCTTGTGGAACAACCTTTTCCAGGAAAGATAAGCTTTTTCGACACATTTCCCTTTTCCAAGGACATACACCTGCAATTCCTCTAGAGGAAACCAAAGGTTTTGCTGAGACATCTGATCAAGGCCACACCGGTAAAGCAACGACAGAGGCTGGAGGAATCGGTTGTGAGTTAAATGTTCAGAATGGTAGTGGGCTTCAAAATACTATAAATGTAAAAGAGGATGCAGATAATCCTGGCAGTTATTTGTCACCGTTGAACATTGAAACTAGCAAGCTTAGCGAACTCCAAGAGTTCCCTCGGCCACCATTTGAGGACCCAGAAAACTCATTCTCTTTTCTGCTGTCAGGTTCATGTAATTACCCTCGAAGACTGGAAAAATATAGGTTCTACTGAACTGGAATAGCTCTAAGAAATTTGTCGTTGGCATATAGCATTCTGTTTCGTCAGTTCCTTTTGGGGAATAAGTGAAGTCTTTTCTTATTATATATAATGCACTTTATTGATTGCTTAAAATGCTATATCTGGCTCGATTGTGTGATTCTGTTAAATTACAAATCCTCTTACCCAGCTTCTTGCAACTACTCAGTTGCAGCAAGTCAATAAGAAGTGCATTAACTGTCTAAAACCTTTCGACATAATTTGAGAGGAAGAGAGATTTCCAAGATATGCTTGATACAAATCAGAATATTAAGCTGCTTTTAGGTACAAACGGACTTCATTAATAAATGTGCTTCTTAATTACTTAGCCAAGAGAATCAATAGATGCCAGCAAGTCAGATGATAACAACTAACAAGATATACCAAAGTGCTGAGCTGTTGTATCCTTCAGAAAACCCAACGAGAAAAAAAGAGAAGGCTAACATTAAGCAACCATTGAACTAAAGTACTGAATGTATTGGACTGAGATGTAGATGGATTTACACAAACCTCTACAATTTACTCTGATTTCATGAAAAAGATTCTCTGAATCATCTAGAAACTATTTGCAATGATAGCCACAAGTTCCAAAAGATTGAAACAATGGCCGTTTACAGGTCTAGATGTAGCCAGATGATCTGAATTTATCTCCAACAATTTTGATAAGGGGGACTTGTCTCGGCTAACTGGTTCAGCTGGCTGAACATAATTGCCTACGATGAAAACTATTGAGCAGTAACAGTTTCCACATCTTTGGTAAGGGTAACTGTACTCAGCTAACTGCCACTGCCTGAACAGATTTGCCTATAATGAGAATTATGAAGCAATATCAGCTTCAAGCCTTTTGCTGCTTGTCCTGACTTTGATGACTTCTTTAGAGGACCAGGGTAGTATGGCTCCCCAAGAACAAAGTCATCCACACACGACCAAGTGCTTCCTCTGGGAGAACTTTCTTTCCAAAGAAACCTCTCTGAGAATGGATTCACCAGACTCTCTCGGAAATCCTCTGCTGTCTCACAGTTTAACCCCTGCCAGTCAATAAACAAAAATTAAGTGTCAGTTGATGTTCATGGCACAATCAGAAGGGGTGGTAGGATGCGGAAGGGACGATGATGTTTGTTGTGCTCTTACTTCTGCCATGGCCTTGATCTTCATGGTACGATCATTGCTAAGGAGAACTAGTTGTCCATCTCTGTTAGTTCTTTTAAGGAGGAGGGCACATTCAAGGATATGATCTTCTGCTGTGGGTGAAACAATTTCCGCTAGACCATAATATGGCGAGGATAGAACCGAGCCAACTGGAAAGATGCCATTCTCCTTACTGAACAAAGACGGTGGTGCAGTAGCAGGAGGAGTCGGTGCCATTGGCCTTGCTTCCTCCACACAACTCTGCACATGAACCCATGATTTTGCATTTACCAGGCAGTCTTCTATCCATTCTAATGCTGCAGATACCTCTGTTGCTTTTCTAAAAAAGCTAGCACGCCTCTTCATGCAATCCAGTTCCCTTAATACTAACATCAAGTAACAGGTAAAGATCAAGTAAAGGGGTTTTGCATAACAAAATTTATTGAAATACTTGAAGATGTTAGGAAATTTTCTGAGGAAATGCCAAAGTAAGTTCATTACCAATTCTGGGGATTATCAGGTAAGTCCCCTTGAGACCTTGCAAAAGCTGCAAAGCTTTTCTTGACTCTTTGTTTAACAAAGCAGTGGTGTCCACTACCGTGGTCCACCTTCTTTTCTCTTCCCTGGCATTGTTATCCTGCAGATATTGTTTAAAGGATAAATTAAGAATCATCAACGCTCCCAGTTCTCATTGGTTGTGGTCATCCAAGAGACCTCAAATTTACAATTGTTAAGCTGTATGGTCTGAACCATCCTAATAGCTAACCTTTGAACAATTATAATGTCAATCATCTCATTGAATAAAGTGTAAAAGAATAGTATAACAAAAAATATATAGCAGACCTGTGTCCTGGCCACAATCTATTACTTTCTGAGGCTAACAACTTAATACTACGGATTGGAAATCATGAATCTGAAGAAGTTTTTCACATAAGAAACAGGTAAATGAACTTACAGAAAAGGGGCCTGCTTCCATAATTTGTTGACACTTGATTGGATTCGCATTCAGCTTGATTTTCCGTTCTGGAGATTCTGAATTGGTGTTGCTGGGGGAGTTCACAAGCAGAGATTGAAATGGCACTCTATCTGTTTTGTCCTTCAGTATATTTACCTCCGATCTATCCATATTTCTGGAAGCAACACTTGCTGATTTCTGCTCTTCAAGTACTTTGCCAGTCAAGTTTTCTTTCTCAAATGGTTTTAGATGCTTAACTTCCACCATTTTCCCCTTCCTTTTCGATCTCATTGAACAACTATTGGGTATCATATTCTCTTTATCTGGAGTGAAAATTTCTTCACTATTACAACAAATATTTGAGAGCACTGTAGATGATCCGACATTCTCTTTCTTGTGGTATTTAAGACCTTCAGCTTCATGGAATGTGGGATCAAAAATATCTTTCATATGGGAGGATCTAAAAGGTTTTCGATGCTTATTTTGTTCCAAACTGCTCGTCTTCTTCATTGATTGCAGCAAATGAGCGTTTGGGGTAAGATTCATTCTGTCCAGATTAAAACTTTCTTCAGCATTCTCATCCGTACAACAAGAAAGTACAGGTTTGGTAGTTTGTTCATTCATCTCGGACCCAAGGAAGAGAGAACTAGGAGTATGGTTCTCTTTGTCTGGAGTGAATGCATCTTCTTCGTCCTTGTTTGCACTAGAAAAAAGATCATTCGAAACTGATCCCATTCCAACCTTCTCACGATTAAGTGAGTTAACTTCAGTATCAATGTCAACTTTTTCAATAATTGCTCTATCTCTACCTGTTTGAATCTGAACACTGGAACATTTTCCCCTTCTAGACCAAATGCTCAAACATTTTTGCTGAGATCTTACTGGACTATGTGCATTTTCTGTTTGGGACCCTCCTGAGACAAGAAGCGCTCGCGGAGTGCTGTTTTCTTTGTCAGGTTCATAAGCAGGCTGTATCAAACTGATTTCACTCTCTCCATGTATTTTCTCAGGTGGATTTACATTTACTGCCTCGTCGCCAACAGGAAATGAAGACTCCAAATATTCAGGCATTGGAGGAGCTGATGGAGTCAAACTTTTTACATATGGCAATAAATTCATATCAGAAAATGCTGAATCTAGAACCTGCACTGAATCATCATCCTCATTCTGAAGGGCAATGCCACTCTCATCCTAGAAAATAGATATATTAGACAATAAGGTGAAAGACTAGTTAAAAGTGAAGACAACAACAACAACAAAAAACCCAGTAAGAATCCCGCAAGTGGGGTCTTGAAAGGGTAAGATGTACATAGACCTTACCCCTACCTTTGTGAAGGTAGAGAGGCTGTTCTGATAGACCCAAGACAACAATACAAAGAAAACATACAGGTATAGTTCTGAAGCTCTTTTTCTATTTTCACATACTACTTCTTCATCTCACCTGATGTTTTTTCTCCTCTGCTTCTTTCACTGATTCTGCTTCACTTAATGGAGCTACAAATGGATTCCCCAAATCATATGCACGGCTGATTGGAATCCAATGAAGCCTGTACTCCCTGCTTGAACCTCCAAGCTGCATCTTATCGCCCTCTTTCAAATCTACTCTAACCCCTGGTTCAATCTTGTTGCCAGAAATCCATGTCCCATGGACTAAAACAACAGCAAAACCACAGTCAGCACATTTTCCTTTTTAGTTTGTCGCAAAAATAATTATATATTTTTATATTTAGAAATAATTTAACTTTAACCTTTTCATTTACGTTAATGAGATGATTCATAGACACGCAAATGTCTATGACTTGTTTTAAACCACAAGTTTCAAAGTCTTTCTTTCTTTTCTAACTCCATGTCAAAATTGGGACAGAGGGCGTGATAAACAACAAAAGAAATGTGAATTAACTGGAAATTCATCAATATATGCAGAGAAAATCAACTGACTAGATAAACCATAATCAAATGAAGGAAACCAAAAAAAAAATCAAAATGTCTAGCAAAGAGAAATGAAGCATGTTAAACATTATACAGAGAGTTCATAGTACTCTGAAGCAAGATGACAAAGAGAAACCCTAAGCATAAAAAATTTTGTCTTAGTCAAGAGGAAAAAATTTTTTATAGAAACATTTGGTACATGAATAAAATCACCAATATACAAGATTATGAAAAAAAAAAGAGTAGAAAAATTTCCACAACCCTCTTCTTTTAAATGTGGCTTACAAAGGCAGAGCTTGAATATATAGTCTAAATAAGATAAGAGAAATTAAAGAATTACCAGAAGACAGATCAATAAGAGAGAGGGAGTGAGTAGAGGGATTCGAGTGAATGCGGAGGTGGAATCTGCTGATGCTTGGGTGTTCCAAGACTATGTTACAATCTGGGTGTCTTCCAACCACCAACAAAATCTCTTCAAAATCTGGTTTCGTTTCTTCAATAGAAGTTGTGGTTATAGGTGGGGGATTATCAAGAAGAAAGATGTTCTTGAGGATGGCTCCATTCTTTAGCACTGTAAACACTGGAATCTTCTTCTCTAATTCAGTCTGTAAATTGGGTTTTCCCAAAGATTCTTGATTCTCTGCCATGAAAGAGAAATAGAGAGAATTTGACACAAAGAGAGGGGGAGAGAGAGTGGGGTTTTTTGAATGAAATGTTGCAAATGTGACCGTTAGCTTATATAGAGGGAGTACTGCTCATGTGAAACGGCCAAACGGGACAGCTTTGTTCTACCAAAAGGAAAAAACCAGAACTATTACATGTAAGTTTTGTTATTTTTGTTGTTTTCATCTGTTTACGTAAATTATACAATGTGATCATACACGGTTATATATCTATTATACATATATTATATAATTGCATGTTATTTTTACTTTTAATTCTTCTTCTTTTTAAAAACTTATTACTTTATCAATCTCATCTTATGTGGTACACTTTGACCGACTTTGACCGACTTGCGTGAAGTTTAAGAAAGAAATAAAAAAAAATATATGGTCTAAAAAAAGTCATAAATATCTGTATGGTTATAAATCGTCTCGTAGAAATTATTTAAAATATATATAACTTTTAAAATAGTTATAGACAAAAACGAAAAGTTGCATCACATACATCGGGAAAGAAAGAGTAGCAAATTGAAATCTAGAAATCTATCTAAGAATTCTTGCCCTGGTATCCAATGAAAGTATAGTATAAGGTGTCGTTTGGTAGGGTGTATAAGAATAGTACTGAATAAGGTATACTAGTACGCAGAGATTAGTAATGCATGGGTTACTTATGCATAGATTATTTTTTATCTATTGTTTGGTGTGATGTAATTAAAATTAATATGCATTGCATAATTTTAAGAAAAGTAGTTGCTTACAAAACTGCCTTCCATATTCTTTAGCTTTAAGGAAATTTAAGGACAATTTTATCTTTAACCATGCTAATGCATGCATTTGTAATTTGCAATTTAACCTACTACTTAAAAATTTAGTCGTCTTATTTTTTGGGGTTAACTTGACTTGATAATTATCATGATTATCTTTAGTTACATTTAAATGAACTCGTAGTATTAAAAAAAATTACACAGTACAATGCGAGAAATTTTATTATGTGCGAGATATGCCACATAATACTTGTGTGAGAGATTTATCATATGACAAGTGTACTGTGGAGCACGGGTATCAAAACAATATCACCTACCAGACCCTCAGCCGCCGATCTCCATTCTTTATCACTTTTGAGTTTTGATTTCATTTCTATACCAATAAATAAATTTTCATTACACACGTAAATATTAATCAACTAAATCATCTCATTGCCTCACCCCATTCACCGTTCAAACACCATCATGAACGCCTCTTTCATTCCATAAAATATAAAAAATCCCCAACCTCACTATTTCATGCAAGAATAATTCCCAAAACCATCTCACCGCCAAAGAAGTAGATTTCCACAATAAAAACTACCTTACTTGCATACACTTTATGGCAGCACAATAATAATAGTGGTGGTTACATATTTTTTTAGTTTTCTTTTTGGTGTTGTTACCATGAACCCCAAAAGAAGAAAAAACCAGTCATTAACCAAAAACATACTCCATCAATTACTTATCAGATCAAAATTTAAACCTACTTAGGTCAATAATTCTAGCACAAATTAATTCTTAATCACATGCAGTTATTATGCGATAATGCTGGTCAAATATGCCGAAAGCTATATTACTCGTAGATAGCAGAGAAGAATTTTTTATGATTTTTGTTTAAGCTTTATTTTTTTGTATAGTAGGAAAGATATTGTGAAAATGAAAAAAACAGAAAAGAAAGACAAGGAAGAGGATAGCTTAAAATTTGAGAGAGAGAGATCTACGTTGAGAGAGGAGACTTTGGTTCCAACAAAATGTCTCATATTTTTCTCTCTCAATAAAGTGGGACCCGAAAGGCACTTGGCGAAAGATGAGAGGACTTTCATACAAATTATATCTGTCACGAAATAATTATGTCTCAGGTGTATCGATTTTTCCCTAAAAAGAAATCAAACCAAGTAAGTCGGTTTTTCAGATATTAGAACCAAACCAAACCAATTAAGTCGGTTTTTTCTCGATTCGGTTTATAGCTGTTTTTATCGGTTTTTCGGTTTTTTTGGCTATTTGTTAGTTTTTTCGGTTATTTGTCGGGTTTTTTTTAAATATAAGGCATACACTACCAAACACATATTCCGGCGACTACATTTTCAACGTAATACTATCAAATCAATTGCCCTTTGAGAAATCTATTATTTACTAAAATATATTGATGATAATTGAATGAAATAGTGATGAATAATTTAAGGACTCAATTAAAAATATATATATTTTTTTAACATGAAATAGATTTTTACACTTAACAAAAGAAAACTACCAATCAAACTAGAATATAAAGGTAAAAAAATTGTACTAAAAGTGCAAACGATTAACATTCACCATAAATTTTTTGAAGCTTTGTATAAAAATATACATATGTATTAGTGTAATAATTGTGAGCACGTGATTTTTGCTTCACACGACAATCGCTCCAAAAAGAAATAAAAAATATATA